GCCGGGGGGGGCTCACAGCGTGCTGGAGGCCAGGTTGGTGTCCTCGTGCTTCAGCTTGCCGTCCAGCGCCAGCCCCCGCTTCTCCCGGTTGTTGGCGAGGAAGGGGGTCAGGGTGTAGACTTTGCAGAACGTGGAGCTCGGGGCCACCATGTCGCTGGGGATGACAGTCACCATCAGCCAGAGCCCCAGCTCCCCCCATCTCTGACAACCCCACAGGCCACCCTGGACATCTCCATCCCAGCCCGGGGAACATCTCTGTCCCAGGCCCAGTCTGGTGTACATCTCCTTCCCAGCCTGGTGCACGTCTCCATCCCAGCTCCAGACCTAGCCCAGACATCTCCATCCCAATCCCAGCCTGGTGCACGTCTCCATCCCAGCTCCAGACCTAGCCCAGACATCTCCATTCCAATCCCAGCCTGGTGAACTTCTCCATCCCAGCTCCAGACCTAGCCCAGACATCTCCATCCCAATCCCAGCCTGGTGAACATCTTCCCAACTCCAGACCTAGCCCAGACATCTCCATTCCAATCCCAGCCTGGTGAACATCTCCTTCCCAACTCCAGACCTAGCCCAGACATCTCCATCCCAATCCCAGCCTGGTGAACATCTCCATCCCAACTCCAGACCCAGTGCAGCACACATCTCTGTCCCTGCCTCAGCCTGGAGTTCATCTCCGGCCAGGGGGACACAGCGGGTGACATCCCCCAAGGTGCCATCACAAAAAGGGTCTCCAATCTCCCTGCTCCTCCCACCAGGACCTCCTTGCTGAACACAACATCCCACTGCTTTAAAGGTGCTGCACTGGGGCAGGAGTCCTCATGGCTCCTCCGAGGTCCCCGGGGCCCTTCGCGATGTCCCCAAGCAGCCGGTACTCACTCGGCATCTTCCACGGCCACCGGGCACTTGTACTGGGCGGTGTTGAAGAGGCAGATGTCGGCGTACTGGCGCACTGCGGCGAGATGGAGAGACGGGGGTTGGGGAGGGTCCCCACAGGGAGGGCAGCTGCGGGGGGGATGAAGCCACGCTCCTCACCTGAGATTTTGATCTTCTTCACCGTCTTGTTGGTGTTGTTGGTGACATGGACGTTGACGCTGATGGGCTCACCGTGGTAGTAGATCTGTGGAGAGCAAAGGAAGGGGGACGGTGAGGTCCTCGTCCTCACCACGGTCGCCCCACCGGCGTCCCCTCCCCAGTCCTCGCCCACCTCCTTGTCCAGGGACGCCTCGAGGTGCAGCGGTTTGTCCGACATGAGGAACTGCCGGGTGGTCTCTGCCATGGGTTGGGGGCCGGGTCGCTCCGGTGCGTACTGGACCTTACGGATCACCAGGCGCACCGAGTTCCTGGGGGAGATGGCGAGAGGAGAATCCAGGCATAGAATCATAGACTCACAGAATCACTAAGGTTGGAAAAGACCTTTAAGATATTCAAGTCCAAGTGTCAACCCAACACAACCACGTCTACTAAACCACGTCCCCAAGCACCACATCTACACGGCTTTTAAATCCCTCCAGGGATGGGGACTCCACCACTTCCCTGGGCAGCCTCTTCCAGGGACTGACAACCCTTGCCGTGAAGAAATATTTCCTGATCTCCAACCTCAACCTCCCCTGGCACAACTGGAGGCCATTTCCTCTTGTCCTATCGCTTGTAACTTGGGAGAAGAGACCGACCCCCACCTGGCTACAGCCTCCTCTCAGGGAGTTGTAGAGAGCCATCAGGTCTCCCCTCAGCCTCCTCTTCTCCAGGCTCAACACCCCCAGTTCCCTCAGCCGCTCCTCATCACACTTGTGCTCCAGACCCTTCCCCACTCCGTTGCCCTTCTCTGGACACCCTCCTGCCTGCAGGTTGCCCTCTTTCTTGGCCCGTTTTGGGTCAAATCCCTCTTTTCTTCTGGTGTGCTGGGTCAGGAGAAGGATGGTGTGGGAGGTCCCAGCTCACCTGGGCTGCGAGAGGGCAGCCCCGCGGCCGTGCCAGGCTGCTGGTGTGGCCCCCCCACCACAGCAGGGTTGGGCATCTTGCCTGCAGCGCAGCAGTGGATGTCTCCATCCCAACCCCTAGATCATCTCTCACCCATCCCTACTCTGGGAAGTATCTTCATCCCAGCTCCATCCTGGGGAACACCTCTGTCCTGGAGAGCATCACCATCCCAGCCCCAGCCTGGAGACTCTGTCCCGGCCTCAGGGAACATCTCTGTCCCAACCCCCATTGTGGAGGACATCTCCATCCCAGCCCCATTGTGGAGAACATCTCCATCCCAACCCCCATTGTGGAGGACATCTCCATCCCAACCCCCATTGTGGAGGACAGCTCCGTCCCAGCCCCATTGTGGAGGACATCTCCATCCCAGCCCCATTTTGGAGAACATCTCCATCCCAGCCCCACCCTGGAGGACATCTCCGTCCCAGCCCCATCTCACCCACTGTGGGTACCAAACCGGGGTGCCCCTGTCCCACTGCCGGGTCGCAGCCCCTGCCAGCACCCTGAGGACGCTGCTCCCACCCGGGCAGGATGGATCCTCTCCGCTCACCTTTTGTGAATTTTCTCCTCCAGGTTCTCGGCACAGAAAGCCTTGACCTCGTAGTCCACGCCGCAGGCCTGGAAACCAGGAGGGGGCAGAGGAGGAGGCAGAGAAACCCCTTTGTGCCCCCCCCAAGAGGTGACCCCAACCAACGGCTTGGTCCCCACTGCCCGGTGCCACCTTACCTTCCCCGTGTCCTCCGGACCCGGCTGCAGCGTGACGGAGCAAGGCAGGTTGGGGGGGATCTGAAGGGGGAAGCGGGGTCAGGAGGGGGGCTGCGACCCCCAGCCCGGAGCCGGCTTTTTCCCCGGAGACCCAC